TGAATAAGTTTACCAACGTTTTCCTCAGTAAAAGCAGTGCTTCGCTGAATCTACCACCGGATCGGAACGGCGACCCCCTGAGAAGATCCGGCGAGAAACTCAGTGGCTTGTGTCTGTGGGTGTTACATCGACAAAGGCCGCATTTACACGATTATCTATTGTGAAATTAAATGAACTAGAGGCCCCGCAGTAGTCGAAATTCGACTATAATTAATTGGAATTGTAAGTTTGTACAGTATTATGATTGTATTTTATACTTCTATAATCACAAATTTCGACAAGACTACACTATAAATAATATTAACAAAGACGAACAATATTTAATCTCAATTTGACAACAGACGTCAAGAACAAAAGTTTGACAATAAATAGTATGCATGCCTGTGTGCGTCAAATACATGGTATGTAGTGTGTGTAATGTTTTCTTTATTGATTTAATGTATCTTTTACGCATTATTTAAAAAAAAAAAATAGCATTGGGCACTTCTTCTCTATATTCTCTATAAGTGTGGAAAATTTCATACTCCTCCGTCCGCGCAATTTTCTTAAAAAGGTATACAAAGTTTTTGCTTCACGTATTAATATATAGATTCCTTAAAAAAATCTAAACATTATTACAAAAATTATCAACAGTTAATGTATTCTATTTCCCTGCCTATTTCTGCCGTGAAGCAGTAATGCGTTTCGGTTTGAAGAGCGGGGCAGCCGTTGTAACTATACGTGAGACCCTAGAACTTATATCTCAAGTTGGGTGGGGCATTTATGCTGTACATGTCTATGGGCTCCAATAACCACTTAACACCAGGTGGGCTGTGAGCTCGTCCACCCATCTAAGCAATAAAAAAATTATTAATATTGTACAGGTATGTATATGATAATGTATGTTATAATCTAATAAATAAACTGCAATAAACATCTTCCAAGCTTCATGCATATTTTTACGCGGTCGAAGCGATATAATTTGTGTGCGGGGGCGATAAAAGCCAAGCGAAGTACCCCGCGAGATTATTAGACTTTCATCTCCAACGACGCGAAATTCATCAGAGACACTCAAAGAACTCCTCCTGCTTGCGTCACTTTTCACATTACCGAGGGTCGTGACTCTCCCGTTGCATCATTCCCTAATGTACAATTTCCGTGCATCTGCTGCGATCCTTGCCTTCATAAAGGGCATTGTGGAACTTGATGTTCAGAATTTCGTCCAACCTTCTCGTGGGACTGCGTTCTATGGGACGTTTGCCCTCTATTTTGCCTCTCACCATCAGCGGATCGAGATTGAACGGGTCCAAAGAATTTCAATACTCTGCGAAACCATATGGTGGAAAGTCTGGTTTTAATGTCAAGTTCTTGTACGATTGACACATTGGTGCGAAAGGCAGTCCGTGGAAGATTTGTGATCAGATATAATCACGAGTCGTGCGATTTATCACAGTCGACAGTGATAAAGTCTTAGAACTTATATCTCAAGGTGGGTGGTGCATTTACGTTGTATATGTCTATGGGCTCCAGAAACCACTTAACACCAGGTGGGCTCTGAGCTCACCCATCCATCTAAGCAATAAAAAGAAAATATAATCTTCTTGATAATGAGTTCTAAGTCTCAGTTTTAGAAGACAACGGCCCTTTTTTTTTCGGGCTGGTGGCCGTACCGTTTTTTTTATTTTTATTGCCCTTGTAGGCAGACGTGCATACGGCCCACCTGATGGTGAGTGGTTACCGTCGCCCATGGACTTCAGCAATACCAGGGGCAGAGCCAAGCCGCTGCCTACTGTTAAAAAAATCTAAACATTCATACAAAAATTATCGACAATTAATGTATTAATATTGTACAGGTAGTAGATAATAATATATATTATGTTATAATCTAATAAATAAACTGCAATAAACATCTTCCAAGCTTCATGCATATTTTTACGCAGTCGAAGCGGTATAATCTGTGTGTGGGGGCGAAAAAGCCAAGCGAAGTACCCCGCGCGGGTACCTCCTACGAGGTACCCGCGCATAAGGGCCGCGCGGGGTATGTGAGACTCAACGTTCTGCAGGTGTTGAGAGAAGATTGCGGGCCCAAGGACTTTAGGGCTCACCCACTAAACGACTCCCCTGCACTCTTACGCCCGACGTCCGATCCCCTCCGAGGCCAGAACCCGGATGAGGTAGGGGGGTTACCGCAGTCAACACCACAACCAACAACAGCGCGACGCACCCGAAGGACGCCCAGCCGACGGAGCCTTCGAGGGTAATCGAAGGCTCTGAAATGTCAGCCGTCACGGTACGGCAGCCCGTCAGGCCGCCCAGACGGTGCTGCTGGTGTCCCGGAATACCCCGCTGGACCAAAACAAGCCCGCCGGGTCAGGACGCGATACACCGCCAATCGGTCGCTCTAGAGGACAACGGCCCGCCCGCCCTTCCAACCGAAACGCATTACTACTTTATGGCAGAAATATGTATTAGATCTTCTTATATTAATATAAATTTGTATTATTAATTAAACAATTCTGCTCAATCAATTACGTTATACCGAAATACATTTTGAAGAAATCATAGAAATTAATTTTACCATGCATCGGGGGATCTAGTTAGAACGGTTTGTTCATAACACGTGACAGAGCAGGACAATGCCTATTATGTGTTCATACAAAGTGAGTAGTCCTCTTTCACACCTCGTACTCTTTGATTCGTGTGCTAGACATATAGAGGGTGTGTTTTTTTATACTTTAATTTTTTATTTCATTTTTATTGCTTAGATGGGTGGAGGAGCTCACAGCCCATCTGGTGTTAAGTGGTTACTGGAGCCCATAGACATCTACAACGTAAATGCGTCACCCACCTTGAGATATAAGTTCTGAGGTCTCAGTATAGTTACAACGGCTGCCCCACCCTTCAAACCGAAACGCATTACTGCTTCACGGCGTAAATAGGCAGGTATGTGCATGCTAGCACACCCTACATCAATATTGACTTCAAGTGAAATTTGGCCAAAAATGGCCGTAATAAATAATACATGAATTAAATCGAAACACCCCTATTTACTTTTTGCGTTCAATGATTTTCTTTAGGGCGTTCGTTTTCTCACTTAAATTTATAATTGAAGTAATACGATACCCGTGAACTGTGTTAGCGCTTTTTTAGGGTTCCTTGTAATAAAAAGGAGGGGTTTTCGAGTACTAATTTTCGTACAAACACCAAAGCTCTTCATGGCGGATCGTCGGATCGAAGCTTATATAAACCCACTATCTTTATGCTATGATAGTTTTGGTCACAGTCGACCGTCCTCGCCAAACTTGTCGATTACGACGAAGAGTTCGACGAGCAAACCAACCCATAGATATAGACCACTGAGTTCCTCGCCGGATCTTCTCAGTGGGTTGTGATTCCAATCCGGTGTTAGATTCAGCGAAGCACTGCTCTTGCTAGGGCTAGTGTTAGCAAATTCTCTCAGGTTGAGCCCGTGAGCTCACCTACCCGTCCGCGAGAAATTGGAATAGCCTCTTAGGTTACCAGCGAATAGGTAATTTAACGAGTAATTACAAATATGTTAAATTAATACTTATACTGCTAATTCCTTTACAAAATGTTATTTATTATTGTGAATGCTATATAAACATCACTGTGTCTGTGTGTCTGTATCTGTCATCATAAAAGATAAAGATAAAGAAGCCTTTATTAACAACCTTAATTCATATTTAGGTACATACTATTCCTTTTTTTCTTTTTTTTTTCTCTTTACATTAGACATCGGCTAAGATTGTTTTGCTTTCGCATAGTCCTATATATGTTCTGTTATCATATCTGTGTATAAATTACATATTTGAGACATAAATAATTGCTGGTATGAATATCCTGGCACAGTTCTGCGTGTGACGATGTATTAAAATAAAATTAGGAATTTTCATAAATTTAAAAGTTCTGTGTGAGTGTTCAGAAGATTCTGTCTCTTTCCCACAGAGTGAGTTTAGAATTTGAAAATTCTATGACGTCATTGTACATCTTCTTCTCGCTTCGGTATCTTCAATACTGAAAGTCGTGACCGCCTCCTCGCAACAAGAGTTTATTCTGGAGCATTCTACGCTATTTGCTCCTATCTGCCGTCGAGTGTAGAGCATCGTGAAATGTGGTGTCGAGAGTGGTGTGGATCTGGTCAGTCCAACTTGTCGGGACTCTACCTCGTGGTCTTCTTCCGTCCACATTACCCGTCACCATTAGCTTCTCCAAGCTGCCGTCATCCTTTCTGGCAATGTGGCCAAAGTATTCCAGAACTGCACGTTTTTTTTATTGCATAGATGGGTGCACGAGCTTACAGTCCACCTGCTGTTAAGTGGTTACCGCAGCCTATAGACATCCACAACGTAAATGCCGCGTCACCCACCATGAGATATGAGTTCTAAGGTCTCAGTATAGTTACAACGGCTACCCCACCCTTCAAACCGAAACGCGTTACAGAAGAAGTAGGTAGTGATACCTACTCGCGCGGACTCACAAGAGGTCCTACCACCAGTAGGCACATGGTAGAAAGCCTCGTCTTTATCTGGAGTTCCTGATCGACACGTTGATGCGAAGTGTTGTCCAGGGAATTCCTAGCATCTTTCGCCACCACCACATCTCAAATATATCAATTCGGTCGCGATCGTTAATTGTACAGTATACATTAAATACAAGAAGATTGTGTTTATTGTTATCTTTTCCTCAGATAATAAAGGTCTGTTTTCGTTTTCGTAAAGGCAGAATTTTAGTATCTAGTCGTTTCGTTGATCCATAGATATAAGCGAGAATATAATAGAGTAATGTCAAATAACGTCAGAAGAAAAAAATGTGTAAAAGTCAAGATTGAAACACAATCATCACTCAATCAATCCGCGCAACATGCACACAAATAATATGAAAAAATAATTTAAAAAAAAAAACCTAATGAATAAAATCCAGGGAAGGACGTTTTAACTGCAAACCTAATTCATCATTTATCGAAATTCTTGTTATAAAATCGTTGAAAAACAAAACTCAAAATGTTTAAGGACGGAGACGGTAAGCTTTTTAAGCATATTTATGGAGAATTTCACTAAGCAACGCGAATTACATATGGAGAATTAAGAGAAATATATATGGCTTGTGATGTACTTCCTCTATACTTAGTCGTGGCCTAAAGGATAAGACGTCCGGTGACGGTCCGGTAATACTAAGTTTCTCGCCGGATCTTCTCAGTGGGTCGCGTTTCCGATCCGGTGGTGGATTCAGCCAAGCACTGCTCTTGCTAGGACTAGTGTTTAACGTCACCAGGTTAGGGCACCGTGAGCTCACCTACTCGTTCGGTGAATCTAGTATGACACCTCGAGGTCGCTAGAATAGGTAGGAAAATGAAAAGAGAATATCGGCTAATGTCGACTTAGAATAAATAGCACCAGCCAATATGTCTCTGTGGGCGTCATAATGTGATTAAGGTATTCAAGCAAAGCAAAGAATATGGAATAGCATCTAGTAAGACAGGAAGTCGAATGAAGTCGTCGTGGCCTAAAGGATAAGAGGTCCGGTGCATTCGTATCTAGCGATGCAACGGTGTTCGAATCCCGCAGGCCAGTACCAATTTTTCAAATGAAATACGAACTTAACATTAATGTTCACGATTGACCTCCACAGTGAAGGAATAGCATCGTGTAATAAAAATCAAACCCGCAAAATTATAATTTGCGTAATTACTGGTGGTAGGACCTCTTGTGAGTACGCGCGGGTGGGTATCACCGCCCTGCCTATTTCTGCCGTGAAGCAGTAATGCGTTTCGGTTTGAAGGGTGGGGCAGCCGTTGTAACTATACTGAGACCTTAGAACTTATATCTCAAGGTGGGTGGCGCATTTACGTTGTGGATGTCTAGGGACTCCGGTAACCACTTTGCACCAGGTGGGCTGTGAGCTCGTCCACGCATCTAGGCAATAAAAAAAAAGAGAATCTTTGTGGGAGTGAGAAATAATAATGTTAATTTTAAATGCCCAGCGAAGCGGACGGGTACAGCTAGTATATATATAATATATATTCACAGACGAGGATGAGCATAACATGAACGTTACGAGGTATCCTTGCATGCCTTCGTTGGTGGCGCTGCAGCAGATGAGGAACCGTCTTCAGATGGCGCACTTAGGGAAGAAGCTGATGAAATGGACAGCTCTGGCCACTGGACGCGAGTTGAGGAGATTGGCCATTGAGATTAACGAGTGTGTTTTTTTAATAGACAAGTAGACAGGCCTTAACCCATTTGGTGGATAAGTAGTTGCTATCGAAGCCAATAGTCACAACGTAGTATTTTTTTTTATTGCTCTTGTAGACAGACGAGCACACGGCTCATCTGATAGTGAGTAGTTACCGTCGCCCATGGACTTCAGCAATGCCAGGGGCAGAGCCAAGCCGCTGCCTACCTTTGAATACACGAGCTCCAAGTTAGAATTGACATAAATCTAGTATCAGTGTCTTCTTCTTTGTCTCCACCTTATCCCCTTAGGTGGGGTCGGTACAGCGAATTTTTCTATTCCATTCTGTTCTATTAGCCGTCATCTCAACACTCACTCCTCTCTCTCTCATATCGTCATTCACACACACCATCCATACCTTCTTCGGTCGACCTATTATCTACCTTGCACTACCATTTCCGTACATCTCCTAGTCCCATGCATCTTCTCTTTACGCATCACATGTCCATACCACGCTAACCGTCAGCTTATTAATCTTGTATCTTGTATCAGCGTGTATATAATAAAAATAATTCATAAAAATAGATTCAATAAAAAAAAAATAGGCCTTGGAATCAGTTCCCCGCTACGTTGTTTTCCGAGCGCTATGACATGTTCTTCTTCAAACGAGGCTTGTGGAGAGTATTAAATGGTAGGCAGCGGCTTAGCTCTGCCCCTGGAATTGCTGATGTCCATGGGCGACGGTAACCACTCACCGTCAGGTGGGCCGTATGATCATCTGTTTATAAAGGCAATAAAACCAAACTAGGCACAGAAACGCCAATTGTAAAAAGACCACAGCCAAATTGTATATACATACATTGTTATTAGTGGTGTTTGATTACAATTTGCAGAACCCACCGACGTTTCAACGAGGACATGCGAACGGCCTTCATGCTCCTGGCTCGCGGAAGATACTTCTGTTCGAACTTAAATCAGTACGTGCTGGAGAATGTTGAGGCTAAGGTAAAACAATATATGGTTTAACTCCCTGAAGTGATGGCAAAAGGCCTTTGTAAGTTTTTTAGTCTATCGAGAAACTTGTTGTTCAGGGTAGGGTCAATGGTAAGAGATCTCGTGGACGAATCCCCATGCGTTGGACTGATCAGGTGAAAGTCCTTACTGAAACCCCACTTAACGAGTGTGTGCGCCGGGCCTCGGTTCGCAAACTATGGAAAACATCTGTCAAGGCTTTAATGAGCAAGAATTCCACATGACCACGACTGCTCTGCCAAGAGCAACCGATTAAGATGATGTGTAGTCAATGGTAAAGTTTTCTTAATGGATACTTGTGGGGTGTGGAGGTAACATAAATAAAATGGCAATCCATTACGTCATGATGTACCAAAATAAATGCCTGTGAAGTTGATTTGAAAAAATTGTTGTCGTTTGTGAAAAGATTCCGAAAGCAGTTGGTTCTGCTTGGTTGCTTGCTTGGTTGGTTGATGTTTTTATAAAAACAGTCTCGCCCCCGGGTGGACTCGAACCACCAACCTTTCGGTTAACAGCCGAACGCGCTAACCGATTGCGCCACGGAGACGATGGACCTTCTCTTGGATAAATAGCACCGCTGTCAGAGGAAACACTTCTCTATAAATATAGCAATTGTGTCCAATTTCAATTGGATAATGGAAGTACAAAAACAGTCTCGCCCCCGGGTGGACTCGAACCACCAACCTTTCGGTTAACAGCCGAACGCGCTAACCGATTGCGCCACGGAGGCGATGGACCTTCTCTAGGATAAATAGCACCGCTGTCAGAGGAAACACTTCCCTATAAATATAGCAATTGTGTCCAATTTCAATTGGATAATGGAAGTACAAAAACAGTCTCGCCCCCGGGTGGACTCGAACCACCAACCTTTCGGTTAACAGCCGAACGCGCTAACCGATTGCGCCACGGAGGCGATGGACCTTCTCTTGGATAAATAGCACCGCTGTCAGAGGAAACACTTCCCTATAAATATAGCAATTGTGTCCAATTTCAATTGGATAATGGAAGTACAAAAACAGTCTCGCCCCCGGGTGGACTCGAACCACCAACCTTTCGGTTAACAGCCGAACGCGCTAACCGATTGCGCCACGGAGGCGATGGACCTTCTCTAGGATAAATAGCACCGCTGTCAGAGGAAACACTTCCCTATAAATATAGCAATTGTGTCCAATTTCAATTGGATAATGGAAGTACAAAAACAGTCTCGCCCCCGGGTGGACTCGAACCACCAACCTTTCGGTTAACAGCCGAACGCGCTAACCGATTGCGCCACGGAGGCGATGGACCTTCTCTTGGATTAATAGCACCGCTGTCAGAGGAAACACTTCCCTATAAATATAGCAATTGTGTCCAATTTCAATTGGATAATGGAAGTACAAAAACAGTCTCGCCCCCGGGTGGACTCGAACCACCAACCTTTCGGTTAACAGCCGAACGCGCTAACCGATTGCGCCACGGAGGCGATAAGGTCAGTTAGCAAAATTACGTTATAAATAACACAACCCAGTGTGTTATTAAAATATGAATAAAATAGCTTTTTAAATGAAGATTTTCGTGACAAAAATCTTAAATGACGCGCGAACAAGCTTTGTTTAGAAAGATTTCATTTATAATATCTAACAACATGACACGAAGACTTTTTGTCTTGACCTCCACCGTCTCTTACGGGAGGGGGCACACTTTAAATACTTCATATTTTCAATCGTTTCACTCTTGATAGAGCGGTCGTGCTCATCATGTAGGTAGTACTGGAGAGGGCAGACTTGACGTTTCTCACGATTTGCCGCCATGTCTGATCTTGACAATCATCATGGAAGGAAACATCAAGGAATGAGTATTGTCATGCTAACCTTTAAATACATGAATATTTATAAAAAGATTCGATCACTGTAAAGATTTTAAGAACTGAAATTAAGAACAGTATGTGATTTGTACAAAAAACTGAACTATGGTATTTTAGTGCAGATCACTCAATAGTTTTTTTGCGTTCCCAGGCTTGCGTTAGAGTTGAAACTACAAACAAATCTATCTCCGGCGTCAAAGTTCCTCACATGGAAGTTGTTGAGGTATTCTTATGTCTTTGTTTTAAATACGATTTTTATTCTCAACGTTTATATAACCAGTTTTTTTGGCTTAAATAGGTGGGCGAGCTCACGGCCCATCTGGTGTTAAGTGATGGCCGGAGCCCATAGACATCTACGACGTAAATGCCGCCACCTACATTGAGACATAAGTGCTGAGGTCTCCGTTTTTACAGTACAATAGCAGCCTTACCCTTCAAACCGAAACGCATTACTGCTTCATGCCAGAAATAGGTAGGGTGGTGGTACCTACCCGTGCGGACTCATAAGACGTTCTAACACCAGTCTAAAAGATGACAAAAAGTAATTGTGCGCTAATTAACGTAGAGACTAATTAGGCCATTAGACATCTTCATGGGGTCTTTGCATTTTATAATACCTGTGAATCCTCTGCAGCATTATTAGGGATGATCCTGGGAACTCTATTGTACCAGAATATATTGGATATTTGCGTTCGTCCACAGCACAACTCTTAGAGACATTTTATTTAATACGTACTATGTCTTTGAACATGTTCTTCATAGTGAGAATGTTGATGGTGACTCTACCATAAATTCTATGAATCATGATGAATATTCACCGTTTGTTGGGCCGTACGTTTGTCGGTTTATAATTATTTTGCAGTTTAAAACGAATTTAGTTAGCTTTGAACAGTATGTTTTGTAACCAGTGGAACGTGGTGTAGGCGACCACGAATTTTTTACCAAATTGGCATCTTTAGGTTCGGCAATCAATTGGTTTTCTGTCGTCCAAATAATCAACTGAAATGATCCGTGTTTTAGTTAGTGAATTTGTCAAAAGCCAATGTCGTTTGCAGTTGGGAGGACCACCGTACAACCATCTAGGATTGGAGAAGGGAGGCCACACAATCGAAGAAGCGAAGGAGAAGTGGAGGGAGCTGCTGAAGAAAATGATACTGATGGTACAACAGAGGACTGGCTTTGCCAGGATCGAAGTGGCCCATAAAAACGCCACTAAGTTAGTTTCGTTTAGCTTTACTTATTCGCAATACTAGATAGTCAGCTAAATATCCTTAAAAGAATCCAAAGGTACTGTTGTCGTGGCGTCCAATCTCTTTGACAGAACATACGGCCTGCAACGACTAGACATAGACTAAGATAGAGGCTTGACAGGTGATACGAAAAGAAACAAAAGAAAAGAAATGGAAAGAGAGCGAACGTTAGTTTTTTCTTGATGTAGTTGGAATTCCTTCTTAGGCTTCCATCGAATAGGTAGGGAAGATGAAAGCGTTAAATGTAAGGGATCGCGTTTAGGTATCTTGTAATACAGTAATGCTGATAGCTAGTGTAGTCAGACCCCCAATTAGACTAAGAAGGCTGTCCAATTAAAGAATATCACAACACGAAGACAATTCCTTTCTAAGCAAAACACAGTCTATTAGATGCAAAACAACGCTATAAGCTGGAACGTGAGAATCAGTTTTTACCTCTTCGCGGCTGAGCGCAACTTTATTATGTGTGACGTCATTCGTGGCTAAAATTAGCGATGACAAAATATTGAACGATGATTTCCAGTTTCCGGATGGTTACCGATGCGTTTCTTGTTTCTGAGCCACCAATATGTACGGTGGATACGACAATTGATCACATAGGAAACGACAGTGTTAGAAATTGTATGAATGTATTATGAATTAGAGAAATATGGAGTTGCTAAAACGAAAAGCAATATACTAAATTTAAAACATTTCCCTTTGCTGTAGTAATAAGTATTTTATTTGGTCGGTAACCGTTTGGTTATTTCGGTAGACAGCGGCTTGGATCTGCCCCTGGCATTGCTGAAGTCCATGGGCAGCGGTAACCACTCACCATCAGGTGGGCCGTATGCTCGTCTGCCTAAAAGGGCAATAAAAAATATATATATTCCCGTTTCGGCTAAGAAAGCTGCTATCGGAAATCAACCCGTGTTAGAAATAGGATAACTTGAAACTCACTCTTCTGTCTATCTAAGGACTCAGTGTTGAAATTAATAAAAATCTGTATTATTAAAAATTGTAATATATAATATAATTTCTTGTCTGGATTAAAAAATATTTTATTAATAAATAAATTTTTAATATATCGAAGAAGTCCTTAGAAGATTTGAAGACGGGTGATTTTTAAGAAGATACTCTGTCATACTTGATGTGGAAAATATCTTCGACAGACGAAAGAATGCCCTGATGAAGATCGTCATACCGAAAATAATAGCGAGCGTGAAGTATATTTTAGACGAATTGGAGGAACAAGCCAGAGAAGAGTTTTACAGATTCAAAAAGATTTTGGAAGTTAAGCGGAAACATGCAAAGAAAAAAGCCGAGGCTCTTGAAGCCGACTCTGATATTCCTAAACTAGCTATTGAATCAATAGAAGAAGTAGAAGCAGAAGAAAAAGGAGAAGAAGATGATAAAAATGCAATTTGTGTTGACTTACCGGAAAAAGAAGATATCAAAACAGCGAATTCTGAAGTGGAACTGAAGGTTTCAGAATTGAGAGCGCACATTAAGTCAGTCATTGATGTCGGTAAATATATAGAAGAAAAAGGCACTTTGTCTGTTGATATGAAACAATTTTTGAAAACTGCTGAACAAGTATTGGATGAAAAGAAAAATAATGAGAGTTTTAATGAAGAAACTGGCGAAAGTATTCAGGAAGTATCCATTGATTATGAGAAAAAAGTCTCCGATAAATCAATAAATGATAGAAATCGTTTAAATGTTACTAGTACAAGAACGAGCACAACAGAAGCTCTAGGAATTGATAAGCAAACACAAACAGACGTGGATGTTGACGGTTATGTTAGTAATCTTAAAGAAATAACAAGAATATTAAGAAAAACCACCGAAGATGGAACCACACTCAAAATTCGCAAGGAAGTTAGCTCTTCCACTAATCCTATCAATGTACCAATAAATAATGGTCCTGTTCTAGCATCCAAGAGCGAGAGTTTCATCTGTAATAGTAGATGTGATGATAACCAATCCTTACAGACTTTCCAAGAAATTGTCTGCAGTCGAATACAATCAGAAGTCATTCCTCTATCATCGAATACAGAAAAGGTAGTGAAGTCTTCAAGCTTAACGTCTTTTGGATCGGATATAGAAAATAATGGTTTTGATGATGAAAATGATTTGGAAGAAATACGAAAGGATTTCAAAGAGCTTTTAGATCTGGCAGGACCGCTCTTTCGGAGGCACGGCGAAGCAAGCGAAGCAAATGATGATAATTTAGAGTTGACGGAATCCGAATGGAAATTAATTGCTAGTATTTTCGAGAACAAAAGCAACACAAAAACTCTTGATAATGCTGATGACAGTCAAAATAATGAAAAATAATATAATATGTAATAATATAATACAAATTTAACTGAATAAATTAATAATCTAAAATTAATGATCATGATATAATAATATCACGAAAACCAATAAATTCTATATCCGAATTAAAAACTTGAAACTGTCCCGATTATTTTACATGATTATTAACTAATCACCACGTAAAGAAACTATATTATATTTAATAGAAAAAAATTGTAAAATAAAATATATTTTTGTATATAAAAACATAAACAGTAAATTTGACTTTTATTAGACAGCTTTATAATGAATAAGAGATACAATTAATATGCACAGTTTAAAATTAAACAGAAGGGTGAGTTTATGTTATAAAGAAAGCTATTGAGTAGATGTTAACTCTGAAGTTTTTACTAAAGTTTTTCGATTGCAGGAAATGGAATATCTTAATAAAAATTGTGATACCAAAATTACTGGACACGATAGCGTATATTCTGATAGAACTAGAAGAACAAGAAAGGGAGAATTTGTTCCGAATAAAGGTATTCAAAAAATCACAGGCGCATCAAAAAGAGTCGCCCGTTAAAGTATGTTGTTGCTGTTTGAAGATGTTCGAAGCTGATACTCAAGTTGAATCCGTTTGTCCTGCCTGCAGTAAGGCAGCAAAATTGAAGAAGGAATCGAATTTAAAGATCGAAATAGCTCCGTGCAAAAGTGCTGAAGTAAAATCGAATCAGAACAGGAAACGATTAGAGCAGTTAATGGCACATATCGATGAAGTCATAGGATTAACGAAAAATTACAAAACGGAGGGAATCGTTTCGCCTAGTATTGAGAAATTCATAAAAACGTGCAGCAAGATAAAATTGAAAATAGAAAATATGACGAATGCACCACCGTCTTGCGATATATGCCAAAAGGCATTGGAAATGACCGAGAGCCGAATCACGTTGACCCCAAAACCTTCAACTAACAACGCCTCGACTTGTAACATACAAGAGCCTCCAGAATCTTGTAAGCCATGTAGTGTAACTAGTGAACCTAAAAACGAGGACATTTTAGGATACTTTGAAACTGAATATAAGGAAATCGTCAAAGTTCGTAGACTGCAGAACGAAGACGGCAGTATTAGTGAAGAAAAGCAAGTCATCACGGTTAAAACTGAAAAGAAATGTCCTAACAAACTGGGTGCTCTAGAAGACAAGGAAATATTCGATACCAGTAAAATTGGTGACACAGAATACGAATCTAGAAGAAGTAAATCAGTGCATACTAACCACAATGAGAGACTTGAGCCGAAGATCAGGCGATGCATGTCCTCAGACCAATATGGATTAACGCAAACGGAAAGAAATTGTAAATTCAGTTCTGCCAGCGCTAAAGGTTCTAGAGCCTCTTTACCGGCAGCCTCTCAAGCTTCCTGTGTATCAACAAAGTCTGTGGATTCCAACTGCTGCTCTAAAAAGCCACGTACAGTTTGTGGCGGCGATTCCATACAGAACGTTTCTCTGGCAAGTCAAAGTTGTTGCAAGATTATAAAGAAACCAATCGAATCGAAGAGCTCTTGTGTGTCAGTTTGTGGAGATGATCGTAAGCGAAACGATAAATCTAATAATAGGAGAGCCACTTCGACTGAGGCTTTGTGGCGAGATCAATGGACTTCGATGACAGATTTCGAGACGGTGCCAAGTAAAGTAATGAAAAATCCTAGTTGGAATGGGAAATATTCCAGTTTGAACACTGATGATAACTTGGATGATGGTAACGAACTTAAATCAAATAGCTGTTGCATTATAAAGATAATAAAAAAACCAAACAATGAATCGAACAAAACTGGTTTGAATGCCAACCGAACGGATTGTAAGAATGTAGTCATCAAGGGAGGTATGCTAGAAGTTTTGAAGAAAATTATTTTACCGAATACAAATTCGAGCCGTGGACTCCAAAAGACAGTCGACGAACCTGAAACGGAGTTTTTTGACAAACCAACAGAGGTTAAAATTTGTAAAAGCTGTTCGGAAAAGATGAATTCCTTAGGAGCTTCCCAAAAGTCGTTTGCTTCATCGAAATCTTCTAAATATTGCTCTGCCGATGACCAATCTATGGACAGGAGCTGTCCGTCTTGTGGTACGATGCCCAAATCTTCATGTACGTCTATATCCTCAAAGAGTTTGGCTGCGTGCTCCTTGACTAGCATAGACACTTCGGCCCGCAACTCTTGCTGCAATAGCCAGACCACGTCCAAGAAGAGCTCCGAAAAGAAAGTTGACTGCAAAATTTGCACGGCTGAAGAGGCCCCGTCTGCCCAATCTGTCTGCTGCTCCAATACCAAGTCCACTTCCACTTGTTGCCCTTTAAAATCATCCGAAGAATCGCTCAAGAAGGATGCTTCAACGTCTACTCGAAGATCCGCTCGCTTTGACGTCAGACCGTTGAGGAGAAGACCTGCTTCTGTCAAAGCTAATCTAGACTGCACTTGTTATTCAGACTCTCATATGCTGAGAAATAGAAAGAACAAACAAGCTAGAAGAACTAAATCGTTTTGCGAAGATGAGTACTATTACTTTAGGTGGTAATTTGAGTATCAATCAATTATTTTTTTGAGGTTCCATAGTGTATATATGGTTTTAGAACTGTCTAGTCACTCATGCAAGCGCTCTGGAAGATAGAACTTCTAGTCATCGTTATGTCTGTAATGTTAGAGCTTTTTACTCCCCATCCCTTCGACATAGAATAAAATACTTTGATTTTGAGTATAACTTTAATAATATAATGTTCTCATGCAATATTATACCAGTGTTCTGCTTTTATGTATATTAATAATACAATTCTTTATAATGGAAGAGATTTTATTTATGGCTTAAGATGGGCGTATGTAATTAAACTTAAAGAAAAATGCATACATTGAAAAACGTGATTAAAGTATTTATTTCAATCTTTAACTCAGATTGAATTATGTCATTTTATTGCTGTGATAGGTAGACTAGCTTATGGCGGTGGTGAGTTGTGGTGAGTAATCAACCTAATTCCCGGATATACGGGTGGCCCATAAGTCCTTTGATATGAAAAAAAATTTATTAAAATAAAACTAATTACATTATGAATTAAATTTTTATTTACATAAAAAGCTTAAAAAACGGGAATTATTTTTTGAAAATAACATCTCCTAAATGTAATCCGTTGCGATCACGGCACTCTTGCAAACGACGTCTAAAATTGTCGATGACTGCGCGGCACGTCACTGCTGAAATGCTTGTCATTTCTCTGCGGATGTTTTCTTTTAGGGCCTCAATTGACCGCGGGTTTGTGTCGTATACTTTAGCCTTAAGGTAGCCCCACAAAAAAAAATCCATCGGGGTCAGATCTGGACTACGTGGAGGCCAGGAAATGTCTCCTCTCTTAGAGATAACTTTGCCAGGAAAAAGTTGACGGATAACGGGCATAGCAGTGTTAGAGGTGTGAGAAGTGGCCCCATCCTGTTGAAACCACGTCCTGGCATTAAAGCCTGAAAAGTTTTGCAATTCTGGTATGAAAAACTCTTCGATCATAGCCACATATCGCTCCGACGTAACAGTAACTGCGCGCCCTCTGCCATCCTCAAAGAAGTAAGGCCCTAGGATACCATGGGCTGACATAGCGGCCCAAACAGTCACTTTCGGACTATGTAAGGGCTTCTGATGCTTAAGTTTTGGATTGATGGGGCTCCAATAGCGGCAATTTTGTTTACTAACATGCCCGTTAAGATGGAAATGAGCCTCGTCAGAGAACATTATGTTATTGAAGGAAGTAAACCGATTCAACATTTCATTCGCATAATTTTGTCTTTGAATACCGTCAGTTTCCTTTAATTCTTGAACCAACTGAATTTTGTAAGGGTGCATATGTAAATCTTTCTTCAAAATCCGTTGTAACGATGTCCTGGATACGTTTAATGCTCTGGCGCGCTTACGAGTTGACTGTGTCGGATTTTCGCGAATAGACTGTGTCACTGTGTCTATGTTTTGTTCCGTACGTGACGTCCTTGGGCGACCCAACCGCGGTTTATCTAACGTCGAACCGGTCTCCTCGAACTTAGCAACCCAGTTCTTAATCGTTTGAAGAGTTGGAGTGTCGTCAAAGTTGTGTAAACCTTTGTGTTCTCGAAATTTACGCCGCGCAACGGTTGCCGAATTGTCGTTTTTATAAAACTCGCGCACACAAAACGCACGGTCCGCTCCGGTAAAACGCTCCATCGCGACTAAATTCCCAGAAACCGAAGTTACTCCCCCCGCTTCCCCTGCACCGCTCACGCGCGCCCTTTTCGTTTTATTCAAATTTTACTTTTCAAAGGACTTATGGGCCACCCTGTATTTGATGCCAGGGGTAAACCCAAGACAGTGATATCTGAGAACTTTTCGTAAACTTCAGACACATATTCACTGTGAAGCAATATTGCGTTCTGGTCACACAACTTGGCTGGTAGTATGGCGTCTTGTGAGGCGCACGGATAGGTACCACCACTCCGCCTATTTCGGTCGTGAAACAGCAATGGACTTTGGCTTAAAGGGTGTTAAATATAAGGCTTTGACTTGACTCATGTCTCAAGGTAGGTGGCGGCATTTAAGTTGTCGATGTCTATGGGCTCCGGCAACCACTTAGCATCAGGGGTCCTGTGAGCAATAAGCCCATCGAAGCAATAAAAAAGAGCACAATTGTGTCTATAGGATCTCGAACATAATGAAAAACCTATTTGATTGATTGATGACTCGACAGTGGCAGAAAGAGAGAATCTTAGACTACAAAAAAAAACATATTATTGATTGTTAAAAGAAATAGCGGAATTTTATGAAAACCAAATTAAAAGATCAAAGAGGTTCGTAAGAAGATTTACCTTTGATTTTTGGGGGCTTAGAATCTGTGAAAGTGCGCAATTGTTACTGGGACTACGAAACAGAGTCACTGGACGTAGCTTCTCAGGTCTTTCCAAATAGCCCGCTGGAGTCTCAGTAAATGACCGCCATTTTACTGAGACTTTGATTCCATCTCATCTCATTTCATTTAATTTCATGCCAACTGATTAAAGTCTCAAATAAATCAACTTTATCTCTTCGATATAAATTTTCCCTCGATGTTATTTTACATATCGACGCTTGAAAGGCAAACGTGACTAAGCGACAATAACTGCTGTGTACATAAATGATAGGCAATAACCGTATTCGATGCGCAAAAAAAATAAATTTCTATTAAAATAATTTCAATCCTACAGCTAGTTTTAAAAAAAATTTTTTTTCAGGTATGTCAACTTTAAATTAGTCTACAGTAAAGTTCGCGCATTGTCGCTTAGTCATGTTTGCCTTTCAAGCGTCGATATTAGAATGTGTAAAAGATGATGTGATGTGTGACGCCTTTGCTTTTCGTCTTGGAAAAATAAATCTACCCTAGTTAGAGCATTAGTTCGTTTATTTATGAAGAATTGCAACGTGTCGTATCGTAGAAAGTGAACTGTGTTGTACGCGTCTAACGTTAGCACGTGCCAACGGTAACGAGCGTGCTCTATAAATGTCAATAAGGCCACAATGTCTAGACGACGTCTGAACGTAACAAAACGAGCACGTGTCACGGGAATAATTGCGATTGTTTCGAACGCGATCCGAGGAAGGTAATTAGCGCAAAAAGATAGCGTTTTATTAGTAGTGCGTCCGTTGTATCCGAGCGGGTATTTACAAATTTGTGAATTAGGGTTGTGCGTTGTTGGATTTTTGTGATATTTAACTAATTTGTTAATCTTTTTTTTTTGTAGGAGACATTATCAGTCTTACACGGATAAGTGCTACTGCCTATTTCCGTCGTAAGGCGCGTGCGTTAAGGTTTGAAGGACGGGTTAGCTGTTGTAGTATTTAGATCTTATTTTCTAAGGGGGGCGGCAGAAAGTCTTCGTGGCCTAAAGGATAAGACGTCCGGTGCATTCGTATATAGCGATGCATCGGTGTTCGAATCCCGCAGGCGGGTACCAATCTTTCCAATGAAATAAATACTTAACAAATGTCCACGATTCCGGCGGCGCAGGAATAACATCGTGTAATAAAAATCAAACCCTATTTTTGCCGTGAAGCAGTAATGCGCTTCGGCTTGAAGGGCGGGGCAGCCGTTGTACTGTTAAAAGTGAGACCTTAGAACTCATGTCTCAAGATGGGTGGTGGTGTTTACGTTGTAGATGTCTATGGGCTCCGGTGATCACTTAACCAGGTGGGCCGTGAGCTCGGCTTATCTTTTCAAAACGTCACGCCGTGTGGCCTCAAAAGGCGCTTTGCAACCATTTAATAGTATTACTCCGACTGTAAAGTCGTAGCGGTGGATACCCTACATCCAGTGTCGGTATTTGGCAAGTCTCCACGGGTGTACTACGCGCGTGTGACGTCACATTCCGTACTCCAGTGATCTTTTTGCCGCAGACTGCGGTGCGGTTACAGACGTGTCGTTATGTTGTGCCCCTTGAGCTTTTTGTTGTTGTAAGTTAGGGACAAGTACTGGTATAGTTGGTATTGTTGCGAGGCAATCGCGAATTGCGGTCTGGAAGTCCTCTTTGCATCAAGTCTGGTATGGCATCTATTTTGCTACTGAAGTCTCTAATTCCTTACCCTTGTGTTAAGTACTGTTATTCTGGACAGCTGGTTACAACAGTCTTTTTTGGGTCAGGGTCGAACCTCTCTTAATGCTCCTGCGTTGAGGGGGCGTGCGATGTATGTGGGACTGTCCAAAATATTAAAAGCCATCAACTAAATTAGTCCCCTGTACTTTTGCTTAATCGTCCTATCTCCACCCAATACCAAAAGAGGTAGGTGAGGTTACCGCGGACAAAACTGCCAATAAACGCGTGGCTCAACCCAAGGATACCCGTTTAGCAGAGTCGATGAGCAAAATTGAGTTGGTAAATTTGCCGTCTCAGTTAGGAGTTAGACAGAGGTTTGGAACATTGTAACTGAGTATCCGAAGCCGCCAAATGACAGGTCATCATTGTTGGTTGCTTTTAGCAGCTTCGCTTCATGGCTTCGATCGGGACCGACAATGGCTGAGTCCTGATCACTCGGTAGATATCAAAACTCGGATCCTGCAATAGGGTCTCGTGGCTGCGTTGATGTACCTTTGTGTAATTCATATTGTTTAAACTGTGGAATGAATTGAATTCTACAGTGTTTCCTGGTCATGATGTCACTTGAGGCTTATGAGGACTAATGAAGCCTCAAGGTTGGGGTGGATATGGTTGTGCCCCTGACAATTGAAATGTGTTTGGGCGGCGATGGAATCTCTTCACTTGGCTCTTTACAGGCTACAGGTTGTGGTGGACCAAAAACTGTTCGTCTGTCAAAGTTGGCAATAAAAAACTGAAAAAAAGTAATAATGGAACTTATTTTCGAATAAACGTGTTTCAATGTTCCAAAATATTTATAAAATTTATTTAAATAAATAAATAAATGAAATCCAAATTAACTTTTACGGTTTTCATTTTATTAATCTTAATGTATTATTTACATTGGCGGACTTCATGATTCTTCAAGCGTTCTCTTTCTTTTTCTTTTTTCTTACCTATGCTGATAGC